ATGGCACCTGTAAGTAATCTACATTCAAATCCATCGGAACAGGACAGCGTGACACCAGGGGGGCAGAATGTCATGGTAACAGCAGTTTAGCCACTTCCCTCAGTTTCCCACACCTCTCGGAGTAAGTTCCCAGTTCCGAGGAAGTGGAGAAACCCCAAATCTACCCAGACACTAGGAGAATGAGTGATGAGACTTTTCAGGCCAGGTGGGAGAACTCCTGTGCACTGCAGTGGTGGTCTGTGCATGCAGTGGTGGTCTGTGCACTGTGGTGGTGGTCTGTGCACTGTGGTGGTGGTTTGTGCACTCCGGAGGTGGTCTGTGCATGCAGTGGTGGTCTGTGCACTGTGGTGGTGGTGGTCTGTGCACTGTGGTGGTGATCTGTGTATGCAGTGGTGGTCTGTGTACTACGGTGGTGGTCTGTGCATGCAGTAGTGGTGGTCTGTGCACTGCGGTGGTGGTCTGTGCACTGTGGTGGTGATCTGTGCATGCAGTGGTGGTCTGTGCACTGTGGTGGTGGTGGTCTGTGCACTGTGGTGGTGATCTGTGCATGTAGTGGTGGCCCTGCACAGCCCAAACAGCAGACCCGCTGCGGCTGCACCTGTTGTCTCCGGGTATCTGCACCCCACTGCCTTTCAAATGAGGAGAGGTGTTAACATTTCAGGAAAAGCTGGCTCCCTCCCCTCACCCCGAGTCACTGACTTGAATTTGTTTCTAGTGCAGCCTGCTGGTTCGAGTGCCCAGCTGTGCTCAGGTGCTCGGGTGTCCTTAGAATAATGCTGGTTCCTTACCCCTCTGGAGCCGGAGGAGGGAGGCGTTCCCACTACTGGCTGTGCGAGGAGGCTCTGGCACATCGGGGAGATGGAGTCTTCCGGGAGTAGATGCTGCCTGGGGGTGCTTGCTTATGGTGTGACATTTGGTGTAAGAGACCAGCCCCAGTGCATTTCAAGCTTGGTGGAGCCATTCAGCCATAAAGAGGGACGAGGAGTGAGCAGAGCGGCCTCTGCCCAGAGCTTACTGGTGACTACCACAAATAAATGGGGATCTCAGGCCCACAGCAGCACTAAATAAACCTGCAATAGAGGGCTTAGGCAGGGCTTACATCACAGGTGGCTTCGAGGCACCGTTCTCCAAGCTGCCAGAGACGAGCATCAGAAGTAGACACAGCCTGAGTGTCACAGGATGATTTTCCACGACCTTATTAAATGGGAGTCCAGACATTAGCAAATAAATATCCGTGGTTTAGAAACGGGACAAACACACTGCTGGCAGATGAGCAGAGAGATGTGAGGTTTTAGGACTAAATTCCTTAAATAGCAAAGGGATCAAGAGGGCTTTCATGAAAAGCCTTGCGAACTCACTCCAGGACAGTTTGGAAGCAGCTTTTCAAGAACGGACCTGTGCAGAAGCAGCCAATGACCTTAGTGTGTTACAAGCTCCTAAACCTCCCACACAGACTGTAACTCTCCCAGAACACAGACAAGGCCAGAGAAGAGCCACAGTGACCCTCTAGGCCAGTGGTTCTCAACCTGTGGGTCACGACCCTTTGGGGGTTGAGTCACTTTTTCACAGGGTTGCCCACGATCATCAGAAAACATAAATATTTACATTATGATTCATAACAGCAGCAAAATTACAATTATGAAGTAGCAATAAAAATAATTTTATGGTTGGGGGTCACCACAACATGAGGAATGTATGTATTAAAGGGTCACAGCATTAGGAGGGTTGAGAACCACTGGTCTAGGCCCCACCCCCTCCGCATTATCCAATCAACAAGCATCCTCCTTCCCTTCTCAAACATTCCCAGTTGCCAACCCATGAAGGAATTGTACTTTTTTTTTTTTTTTTTTTTAAAAGTCTCTTGTCTCTTTAACGGCCTTTTCTCAATGAAAAGCTTCATCGTTTTGCAAACGGCCCCAGTGTGCTGGTTTGGCTTCTGTGAGGTCTGTAACAAGCCCTTGCTCACGTCGGAGTGTGCGGCTTATCAAAGTGATGGTTTCTCCAAACGCAGTGTCAGTTATAAATGGAGCCAACAGACTTCAGGGCTTGAGGGACCACTGTGTGAAGGATGTACTTCCTCGGGGCTTGTACCCACCACAAGACAACATCTAAAAGGGACCCAGCTCCCTTGTAGGGAACTGGCTTGTGGCTAGAGGTTCTGGGTGGCAAGAGAGTCTGTGATCCTCAGAAGGGGTGTGGCCTCGGAACACCAGCTGAAGCCAACTTCACCCTGACCTCTCAGGGACCAACTCCAAACACCGCTCTGTGGCATGAGAGGTCACACCAATACCTTTGCTCCAACCTCCCCTCCCTCCCCATCTCCACCCCCTCCCCCCTCCATCAACTGTGGAGATTCCTAGCACCTCCCTAAGCAGGAAGTGGTAAAAAGAATGAGCCTAGAAGGAAATCTGCAAATGCACTCGCTGTCAGAAACCTCAGAACAAGGACAGATTTCCCTGGGCGTGCGACATCTTGAAGTTAGCAGAGAGCGATTTGTGCTTCCTGTCACTGAGGAGCTGACTAGGGGGCCGGTGCCCTTGCTGATCTCCCTGCCTCCCCCACATGCTTTTCTGAATGGCGTCACTGTTTAGGGTTGATGAATGAAGGGCACTGGGACTGGCCGGGCAGCCTGTGCTATGCAATGGCGGAGGTGGGGCACTCGCTCCACGCCTGCGCCTGTCATCTGCAAAGGCAATATCATCTGCAGAGTCAGAACCATTCAGGGCACATCCAGGGGGCCTGTGGGAGCACCCGGGATGGGTAATGAATCCCGACTCACTCTCAGGCTTGCTCACATGACAAATGGCCCAGTACAGTGATGAAGAGAAATGGAGACAGGCTATATCCCCTCTGCGCACATTCCAGTTAATTTCCCAGAAGCAAGCACAAGTAATGCTGCTTCTGAGCTGAGTTGTCTGGGGTGACAGATGAAGAGCGGGGGGCTTTTGTGTTTTGGAGAGATGGGGGAGGGTAAAGAATATGAAGTTTGGTTTTCTGGGATTCCCCGCCCCCCAAAGTGAACAGAATAACTAGGAAACCACGCAGCCAAGAAAGATCCCGTTGCCTGGAATGCCAAGGCAAAGAGAAGACTTAATGCCCAGGAAGGTTAGTCTGCTAACATAATGTGGCAAAGCATGACTTTGGAGGGCTATGGTCTGATGCGGACCATCCTGCTGGGCTGTACAGAGGCAGCCAGCCTATAGATAGCAGGCAGAGCTTGAGGAGAGCAGGCATTGGCCGGCCCTGTGGCCTCAACTACCAAGGTCTCCCAAACTGGGAAAGGCCATACAGTTTGATCTTGTCACTAGTTGCCTAGCAGATTTTAGTAAATCTTTGTCCTACCTTCCTTTGTTCTAAAAGAGAACAGTTTCTAGTTGATTGATCAATCAGCTTGCAAACGAGATTCACAGACACCAAATACTAACTCTATGCAATGGCTGGGAATCCAAGGAAATGTCAAAGCATACGTTTTGCAAAGCTTAAGCACAATGACAGTCATTATGGAGCAAAGAATGACCGGACAAGAGCCTGCTCACTCGATGACTGGCCAGACCACCATGTTTCCTGACACTGAGCAGTGGGCAGCCCAGCAAACTCTTGATGATTTGTTAGGCAGGATCAGAGTTACTGATGGAAGCTTATGTCCGCAGCTAATGGCTGTTAGGGCCAGGGGACAACTCCATGACATGGTATTATGTAGACACAACATTTATGTTAAGCCTGTGTTTACATACGATATAGAAACATTTTGCTCATCACCTGTGTGGCCAAAATGTTAGGAAGCGACTCCTAGAACCAAGCAGAAGGCTGTCTGGAGGGGCTGGTGACATTCTATTACAGTCTGTTAGCTCTCCCAAGAGGGCAGGTGGTTGGCCATTAGGAGCCACTGATGTTAAAAATATGTTTAATCTAACAAGAGACCTTGAGCTAGAAAGAAAAACAACTCCTAGTGTTCCCTTAGTTGTTTACAGTGGAACCAAACTGCAGCCAGAAAGAAGTTACTTTATTTAATCAAAAAATTTCATATGCTTACATTTCTCCAGCCCTCCCACCATCAACTCAACAATCTGAAAGGATAAATATTTATTAAAATCATAAAGGTATTCCACTCTTAAGGACTAAGACAGGAGTGATCTACTACCCAGGAGGTGACCTCATAACAGGGTGGCATTTTGAGGAGGCATTGTATCTTCATGGTGACCCAGGAAATGATCAGATTCAAAGACAAAATTCTCATTTAATGGAAACCAACCAGGTCCCATCTCTTTTTGTTTTTGGAGGACCTTCAGCCTTGATAGTTTTACCCCACAAAGACCTTTTTCTTGGCCAAGTCCCTAACCATTGGGATATTTCACAGCAGAAAACGTAGAAAAATGAAACTTGATAAACCCTCACCTTGGCATTGTTTTCTCACAGGAAATGGTCCTTACAAGGGCGAGGAACGCCACTTTGGGGCTTATTTATTTGGGACACCAAAGGTCAGGAAGGGATGCAACTAGGATTATGACTACCAGGTAAGCTGCTGAAGGCATCCAGAATGCTCCTCCTGGTAGGGAATGGTGTCTGGGGTCTGTTATCAACCTGGACCAGAGTGGAGAAAGCAAGGCTTTTCTGGAAACTCAGATTCCGAAAAAGATTTTCACACCAGTTCTTCACGGCATTTCACTGTGATGCATATAAAAGACAGAGGCGGAACCCTCATTGTGAGATGAGTGGGGGTTCCTATGGCTAGGAAGACACACAGCTGAGCTGGGCAATGGTGGTGGGGGGTAAGCAAGGCTGGGTACTCATCAGCACTGCTGACCGGGCGTGTTTAGGGCTGCACCAGAAATGGGAGATCAGGAATGGTAAAGAGGGAAGGATCCTGCACATGGAGTCAAGGTTTTGTGTGGGAGGAGACATGGTAACGCCGCAGGCTTTTAAAGCTTCCCTCAGTAGGGAGATCAGACGACACACAGTGCCCATGGTACCCATGCAATAATAAATAGGGTCGTACTCACTTGTACGGGATGTGCTTGCTGCCATTGACAAGAGCCAGGATGACGTTGCCCAGAGCGGACAGCGAGAGGCACAACCCTGAGCCTCCTTCTCGGTTTTTGCTGAGAGCCTTCACACAGCTGCCCAGATCGATGAGATGCAGGCGGCTGCGACCTCCAGACACTGGCACAGGGGGGAAGGCGAGAGAGAGAAAGAGAGAACGGGTAAGTTCTGGCCAGTACATTTTCTCTTCTTCATGTAGCTCTCTCTACTGGGAATCTTGGAGGAAGGAAAAGATTAACATTTGATGACGTAAACAATTCAACCTGGGGTTTCAAAGAGAATCAGTGCTCTGAAATTCTGTCCACCACATACCACACACCCTCTAAAACCCGCTGTCACTTATTTTACAAATAAAAGGACAATTCCAGCAGACCAGATGGTTCATTGAAGGAGGGTGAGGTAGGGCTTTCCTCAACTGTCCTCTGGATGACAGAGTTTCTGCAACTTTCCCAGTTAAAACCTGAGCAGCTCATGAGTGCTTATCTATTCTGGTTTGTTACCGTCAGGTAGCCGACCTAACGCTCAGCCAGGAATCAGGTTGGTAACCCTAGGAGAGATTTGGAAGGTGTAAGATCCAGGTGCAAAGGCAGGAAAGACCCGACTATTTGCTGAGCGCCTGCCAATTGCCAGGTGCACAGACATCCATCTCACTCAATTCCCACACAAAATCATCCAAACACTAGCATCCTCTTCTTGTGGATGAGAATATTAAAGCTTGGAAAAGTTAAGGATTTCACCCCTGAATTCTGGCTGCCATGAAGTAACAGGGACCAGGCTAAGTGTTGTATCCAAAACAACCAAAAATAAAGAGAAAATATAAAATAGCTGTTTTTAAGACACTAGACATTAGACAGGGAAAAGGACTCTTGGGGCACAGGAAACAGACAAGGCAAACATTCTTGGCCTCAGCTAACTGTGCTCAGAGAGTTCCCAAGCTCAACCCTGGTATGACCTGGTGGGCCCACTGAGCTCAAGTGAGATAGAACCCAACATCTAGGGAAACCAAGGAGCAGCCATGTGCAGGACAGAACACTAGAAAGGAAAGGACGGGGGGATTTATAGACAGTCTCTGGAAGATTCAGCTGAATGCTCATCAGCAGATGCTCATGAGAAACTGCTAATGAAATCCAAGAGGTGCCTGTTCCCAATAGTCAGATCAGAAAATCTGAAAGTTCATGTGAAAAGATAAATAGACATGAAAAGAAGCAGGTAGATGATAGCCCTAATGAAACGGTATTCAGAACAAACCTACAAAAAAACGTAACTATCAGAATCCACAGAGAAGGAGATGAGAAACAGTTACTGCCATTCCGTGTCAATGTTAAATGTTTAAAGAGAGACATGGCCACCCTGGGCTGTATAACAAGAGCTGTCTCAATTAAAATAAAAGTGTATATAATAACCTCTAAGAGAGTGAAACAAAGATAAAATTGTGTCTGAGAGTTTATGGTAAGTTATACATTAATAAAAGGAAATGTAAATAAATTTGATAATATGTCAATATAAATCTTCAAAATGAAATAGAAAAAAATAAAAGTACACAAAAAATACACACACACACACACACACACAGAGAGAGAGAGAGAGAGAGAGAGAGAGAGAGAGAGAGAGAGAGAGCGTGACCAATTGGTAGGTATTTAAAAGGGTCACAGAACAACCTCAGCTGTCTAAAATACACACGGTTGGATTTTCAGAGTGTGGCACAGATGCAATGCTTGAATAAATAATGGCCCCAACTTTTCCCAAATGGTGAAAATGACCAAGCCACAAATCTACAAAGCTCAGTCAGCCCCAGGCACGAGAAAAATGAACGACCCGGTGAAGCAAATGATAACCACACTGCTCAGAACAGAAGGAGGGGAGAAGAACAGCCTGAGGAGCAAAGGCATATCCCACACAAGGGATCACAGGGGAGGGAGTATGTGTGACGGCCGATTCCTCCTCGGCGATAAGTGATCGGACGGCACAGCACCATGTTTAAAAGCCTAGAAACTGTCACGTGAGCAGTCAACATCCGGAATAAGTATCATTCCAAAGCAAAGGGAAAAGAAATACACTCTTTTCCTTGATGTGGGGCTGGGAAGGTGGCCCATTGGGTAAGAACACTGACTATGCAAACAGGAGGCCTGATGAATTTGAATCCTCAGCAGCCACATAAGAAACCAGGAGCGGCTAGGGAAGTCTGTAAGCCCAGCCCTGCAGGGTGGGATGGGGGTAGAGACAGGCTAAAACCCAGAAGCTCTCTGACGAGCCAGACTGACTGACATGGTGAGCATCAGGTTCACTGAGAGAGATCCCGTCTAGGGAGGGAGCAAGGTGGAGAGCAGCCGAGGAAGACGTGACACACTTATACATCTACTCTCCACACCCAGCCCAACATGTTGGCTTCATGTGAGGGACATTCAGGTGGCACCTGGGTATACACATCTGGGCACCTCAACATCTGTAGTTAGAACTCAAAGACCACCCATGAGGTGCTGTTGGATAAGAACTTGGGGGAATCATCTTGGGGCCTCTATTTTCATGCCTGCTGCTGGTGGTGAACATTCCAGGAAGCAGAGCATTGCAGCTTCTCCAGCTCGGTCCCACACTTTAGACATGAATGAAGTTCATTTTGCTTATTTCCAACTGTCCCCGGGGTAACCCCTTAAAAGGGAGGCCATATTACTTCTCTTCTATCCTATTTCAGATCATGCAAGATTGGCTCATGGCAATGATGTGCTGGGGAAACAGTTATTTTTTAAAACAAAATGCCATCTGTTTTGCAGCCCAATTATATAGACAGGAGAGGTGTAGGTATTCCTCACACATCTCAAATGAAAGGGCAAAGACAGAGACCAATTTGGACTTCCAGACGTAATGGTCCATTTGATGTAATGGAATAAAATGTATAATGTACACATAGTAAAACAGAACAAAAGATGGCTTAGATTGTGTTGGCGAGCTTTATAAAACACCTGTAATTACCTGCATGACTCAGAAAGAGAGGCACCTCGCACAGTGGAAAAGCTGCTCTCTGCCCTATACCCACTGGCGTTTGGGTGGTCAGGGAATCTGCCTTTCACAAATGGTGCTTAATCTAGAATGGTGCGAAGTCAGCGGTCACGGACTGTTTGATGGTGTTGAGTCTACATCACTGTAAGTGGCTAGGGAGAGAGGAATTCCACAATGACTGAGCAGAAGGTGTGGTCATTAACACAGGTAAGAAGCAGGTTCCTTATCAACATCTCAGATTTCTGAGATCAAGGACACAAGAGTTAAAGGAATGTAGGTGAATCTCTCTTGAGCAACTTCATTTTCTTTAGAGAGTGTCTCATGTATCCCAGGCTGGGCCTTGAACTTGCTATATTTCTGAGAATAATTCTGAACTTCTGATGCCTCTGTCTCTGCCTCCTGTGTGCTGGGATAGCAGACATATGTCATCATACCCCGTTTATTATGTGCTGCTGGTGATCAAGCTTCAGGTTTCATGCATGCTAGGCAAGCACTTTTCCAACTCAGCTAGATCCTCAGTATCTTTATGTTTTAAGTCTAGAGTTGGACCAAACCAAGTTACCCACAGGCCTTATTTTCCCCACAGGGAGTAATTCTCCTAATATCACTTAATGCCTACATTATGCATAAATTGGACTAAAATTATAGATGATAAAACCAAGACTGAGATCCACACATGCTGAAAAATAAATCATCTATGATTTCATTGAAAATGAGCGCTGAGTCAGATGGAAACCCAGAGTGAACTCTACAACATGCATAGCCTTTTACTCATCTTGCATCAACGTGGCTTCCGATTTGGCAGCACCCGGGAATCACCTGGGACCTGCGAAGAACTACCTCTGCCTGCCTCCCACTCCCAGACCTTCTCACTTGACTGGGTTGGGGTGCAGCATGGGCACTGGGGTTCACTTAAAAGTTCTCCAGACAACTGTCCTGTGCTGCAAAGTCTGGGGACCACTGTCTGCCTACCTGGTGGGTCAGTCACACTCTCCATCGCCCAGTAAGACACTGTCAACCACAGCATGCCCAATGTGTGTGGCTGCTTTGGTTAGGCCCTTTTGTTGCAAAGAGACCTGCTGTCCGTCTGCCAGAGGTCAGATATTTATGACACGTGCATTTATTACGACTAAAACCTAAATGATACAGAAACCAACAAACTGTCATTTTGTAAGGAGTTTGTACAGTTATACATAAATTAAATTTAATGTTTTGGGAAGGTATTTTAAAGAAAAGATTCAAGTTAAATTAGATGTACATGAGAAATCAGAGTTGAAAACATGAAAAGGAGCCAGGAAAAGGCTAAATCCAGTTGGCAGCAAATGGGTCTTTTAAGTTCTTGAAACTTTGAAGAAATTAAAGTAAAAACGATTAAAATCAGTATGGTTCATGAAAGTTAGAGCTTTAAGTTAAAAACTCTAAGCAAGTCCACACTGTATGCCCCCAAGATCCGTGAATAAATACACATTTTCATGCAATGTTTCTTTTGATGGGATTCCTCTTTTTAGTGGACTTTCTCTGTGAACTGACCAACTTCTGGGTGTGTAACATCCCCATGGCATCGGCTGGCACAAGGGTGGCTTGCACACTGTGCTAGGTATTTAAAACCGATGGTCAAGAGGTAGAAAATGAACTTTGGCTCTGCTTTACAGGCATCAGTCCATGGTCACCTGGCCCCAACATGAGGCCAGGCCAAACATCATGGCTGTAAAAATGTGTGGTGGAGGAGACTGCTCACCTCACTGCAGCCAGAAAGCATAAGCAAACAGGAAGAGGCTACAGCCAAGATCTACCCTTGAAAGTTAGGACCCCTAGTGACCTGCTTCTTCCAACGAGGTCCCACTTTGATTTCTACCAGCTCTCAACTGTCTATTCAAATTTTGAATCAATCAAGGCATTAAATTGTTTCTTAGGCCAGCGCCCTCCGGGCCTATCGTCTCTGGAATAGCCCTGACACGCACACTCAGAGGTATGCTGTATCTTCTAATAATTCAAAATCCATGCAAGTTGGTCTTGCTCTCTGAAACTAGCTGTATGTACTAGATGGTAGAGGAAGCCGGGGTTAAAATACGGCACACATTCCATTGCATGTAATACACACATACTGAGTACTGGCATGCAGACAC